TCCTTCTTGAAAACTTGAACTTGAAAACATGCTAGAACTTGAACTTGAAAACTTTGATTCTTCACTTCAAAATTACCTCACTTTACTATCATTTCTACCACTCAAACTCTGAAATAAACTTATATAACTTTGTAATATTTCTTTGGTGTGAAAATTCAGATTTTGAAGGCCCCTACTTGTAGCCAAAATTCTGGAATAAAATATCTGGAGTGAAGAAATTAACAAATTAAACAATTTAAACTTGTAAAAATTAATCACTTTAAATATATCCTTACCTAACATTATAATATCAACTTTTCTTAATTTAATGCTCAAAATTAACTTTAGTTGCCACCAAAAATGAGTTAATGGCAATCTGATCATTTCTGTCGGTCACACGACCCGTGTGACCTCACACGACCAGTGTGACTTGAGTCACACGACCAGTGTGATTTCACACGACCCGTGTGACTTTGAGTCACACGACTCGTGTGAAAATGCCGAAACTGAACTTGAACAGTGCCTTGAGCCACACGACCCGTGTGGCTTGTCACATGACCCGTGTGACTTCACACGACCCGTGTGGCCACCCAAACGACCCGTGTGACTTTAAAACTTCAAAATCTCAACTTATTTGGCCTCAAAAATAGCTCAATCTTGAAGATAAACTGATACTTAATACTAATAACTAAATGGGATATTACACGCGCTTGCAAGGTCGGCGGCCCTAGTCCTTGAGAACTAGAGTGAGGGCGCGCGGGCGGTGCAAAGTGAGGCGGCCGATAGCATGAGAGAAAGAGAGAGATACTTGGAGTGCAAGCCAAGCTAGTAGTTTCCTTATTGCATTATGAGATCTAGATTAATTAGGCTACTTAATATTTTATTGCTTTATTAGTTCCTTAGGTAGATTAGGACTAGATATAATTGGTGCCTATATAAAGGCCATCCCCCATGTTATTTTTCATCATCACTTTTATGAATAGAAATCTAAACTTTTGTTCTTCCACTTTGCTATAGTTTTCCACCAAAATTCTATTGCAATTTTATTCGTTCCTAGGGGCGCTATTGTGGCTCGAAGAACACCTATCGGTGATTCAAGGCACGGGCTAGTGGCTTATCGGCAATCGAAACACACGATCTTCATCATTGGTGCTTTCATTGAGAGGTGTTAGATCGTGTGTTTTTCTTCTATCACATTCCCTTTCTTTTTCTTTTCTCTTTTTCGTCTCCCCTATCAAAAAAAAAATAATAATAATATATCATCATCATTACGAGTCCTCGAAGCAAAGAGTGTAGAGAAGAGAAAAAAGCAATGTCCAATAAAGAGATGAAGGACAAGATCGATAATCTTGACATCCAGATGCGAAGTATGAGCGAAGTTATGGAGGGAAGGCTTGGATCGCTCGACGAAGGACAAGGCAACACCAACGCCGCCGTGGCACGACTCGAGCAACACTTATAAGAGGTCTTATGCGCGTTCCAACAGCAACCACCATGGCAGCACGACGTCTCTCCGAGGCGCGAATACTGCTGACACGCCGAGCACGACGAGCGCACGCCATCACCACGGCGCGAGGAGCGGCACGCACACGAGCAGCGTGACGGGGAACGACAACACGGAGACTATGAGCACGAGGACGAGTTCGACCAGCGATCGCAGGCATCCAACTACCGAGAGTGGCCAAGGCCCGACAAGCCAAGATACGTGATGTCCACATTCATAAGTAGTGATCCGGAGGCTTGGCTCAATCGTGTTGCGCAATACTTCAAATTTAACGAAACCGAAGGCCATGACCGAGTAAGGTACGCAACATTCTATCTTGATGGTGAGGCCAATGTATGGTGGCAATGGCTCTCAAGGATCTACCGTAAGCGGCAGCAGATCATCACATGGGCCGACTTTGAGAGGGAGTTGCTCACACGCTTTGGCACATCCCATTACCATAACTACAACGTGGCTCTCGCACGTATACGCCTGACAGGTAGCTTGCGCAAGTATATTAAGGAGTTTGAGCATTTAGCCTGACACGTGCGAGATTGGCACGAGGATGCACTAGTGGGAGCGTTCATAGGTGGGCTAAAGTTCGATCTAGCCGCAGAAGTCCGACTAAAGCGGCCAGACACGATGCACACACGAAGGGGAAAGGCGGACAAATGATTCACCGATACCCGCCGCACGGGCCCGATCCATGCGACCGCGGGTGCACGACCGACCATCAGCGCTCGACTACCGGGGCCAGTGATCAAGCGACTATCTCCGAGGAAGTCAAGCGTCGATGAGAGAAGGGCCTATGTTTCAAATGCAAAGAAAAATTTACACCAGGCCATCAATGTAAGCAAGCTTTTATATCGAAGTTGCTAATTCTGTTGAGGAATGATCTGAGGTCGAGGAAGAACCACATCAGGAGGATGAGGTTGAAGTGCCCGAAGAAGAAGCAGAAATTTCGATGCACAAAATGGCCGGGATTAGAGGGCCAAGAACGATGCGGTTGCCAGCTTAGGTCAAGGATCGTAGGGTGATTGTGCTCGTAGACAACGGGTCATCACACAACTTCATTAATGCTGATTTGTCCCAAAAGCTGAAGCTGCCAACTACGAGGATTGAGCCTTTTGATGTTCGAGTAGGTAATGGTGAAAGGCTTCAGTGCACTGAGTCGATTCGGAAGGTGCCAATTAAGTTCCAAGGAGTTACGGTAAAGGCTGATCTCTATGCTTTATCCCTAGTCAGACTAGACGTTGTTGTTGGAGTGCAATGGCTCGAGGGATTAGGCAAGGTCACCACCGACTACCGAGCTGGAATTATGAAGTTCAATTCTGGAGATCGACAAGTCACCTTGAGTACAGGCACTGAGAAAGGTAGTAAAGAAGTTGGGTTAAAGAGTATTGAAAGAGTTTGGCAAAGTGGCAACCAAATATACACAATCGTGGTCGAAAGCAAGGACACGCCCACGGAAGGGGCCGGACAGAAGCAAGGCGATGTACGCGAGCTTCTTGAGGAATTCAAAGGAGTGCTAGGCGCATCCAAGGGCCTACCACCTCAACGGGAGTTCGACCACCGCATACCCCTGGTTAGTGAGCAGCACGCAATACACGTCCATCCCTATAGGTACGCTCACTTCCAGAAAACTGAGATTGAGAGGCAAATTGCTGAGATGCTAGATTCAGGGTTAATTCAGCACAGTAAGAGCCGTTTTCTTCACCAGTACTGTTAGCCAAAAAGAAAGATGACACGTGGAGGTTTTCTACTGATTATCGAGCTCTAAATACTGCGACTATCAAAGACCGGTTTCCTATTCCTAGTGTCGACGACATGCTCGATGAATTGGCTGGATCACGTTACTTCTCGAAGCTCGATCTGAGGGCTGGTTACCATCAGATTCGGGTTCACAAAGCCGACATACCAAAGACAGCTTTTCGTACGCATCAAGGACACTATGAGTATTTGGTGATGCCATTTTGGCTATGCAATGCCCCATCCACTTTCCAGTTCGCTATTGATTCCATCTTCAAGGAGCATCTGCGTATGTTTGTTCTAGTCTTCTTTGATGATATATTGGTATATTCAAAGTCATGGGCTGAACATTTAGGGCATTTAAGAGTGGTGCTTGAAGTCTTGGAGGCTAACTCATTTCACATCAAGCCGTTCAAGTGTTCATTCGGACAGGAGATGGTCGAGTACCTAGGCCACTTTATATCTTATAATGGCGGGACGGTTGATCCGAGAAAGATAGAGGCGATGGTCGACTGGCCAAAGCCAATGAGTCTCACACAACTCCGAGGATTCCTAGGGGCTCACGGGCTATTACCGGAAGTTTGTAAAGGATTATGACACCATTGCCAAACTACTTACGAAGATGACCAAAAAAGGAGGGTTCACATGGACCAAGGCCAGTGAGGAGGCATTTGAGAAACTGAAGGGCACTATGACTACAACGCCGGTACTCGTAATGCCAAGGTTTGATGTCTTGTTCGAGGTGCATACAGATGCAAGTAATATTGGGATTGGAGCCGTGTTGGTACAGGAAGGGCGACCCTTGGCCTATCTTAGCAAAGCACTGGGCACAACTCGATTAGGTTTATCGGTGTACGTAAAGGAGATGCTAGCAGTTGTCGAAACAGTGAGATGCTGGAGGCCCTATCTGCTGGGGCGACGTTTTCGGATTGTGACCGACTAGCAACCACTCAAGCATCTACTCGAGCAAAGGATTGTTACCTCTGAACAACATAAGTTTGTCTCGAAACTAATGGGGTTCGACTTTGAGATAGTCTACCGGCCGGGTCGACAGAATGCTGTAGCTGATGCCTTATCTCGACGGACAGATGTGGCTGAAATTGATGCTATCACGGGACCAACGTTGACCATATGGGAGGAAGTTCGAAAGGCGCAAGACGAGGATACTTATTGCAAGGAAGTGCGCCGGAAGATCGAGGTAGGAGAAACCATTGCTGATTATGAGCTTCACAACAACCTACTACTACATTGGGGCCGAGTGTTCGTTCCTGACAGCGGACAGCTACGCGAGAAGATCATGCAGCACTTCCATGATTCTAAGGTTGGAGGTCATTCGGGTATCTACCGCACTTCGATAAGGATAGCCAATACCTTCTTTTGGCCAGGGCAGCAAGGCACGGTTCGGGACTACATCGCGAGGTGCGACGACTGTCAGCGCACCAAGGCTAATTCACGCCGGCCAAGCGGATTGCTCCAACCACTACCAGTACCCGAGGCAGTCTGGGAAGACATAACCATGGATTTCATTGAAGGACTGCCGAGCTCTAATGGGTTTAACGGAGTAATGGTCGTGGTAGATCGACTTACCAAGTATGCCCATTACATACCCATCATCCATCCTTACACAGCAAAGTCAATTGCCAGATTGTTCGTTGAATATGTGATGAAGTTACACGGAGCTCCGTGATCTATAGTTTCAGACCAAGATAGGATTTTTATGAGCAACTTTTGGTCCGAATTCTTCAAACTGCAAGGAACTAAGCTGTCCATGAGCTCAGCCTATCATCCCCAAACCGATGGGCAAACCGAGGTAACCAACCGAACCCTTGAGCAATACCTACAGTGCTATGTTCATCAATTTCCGAAGAGGTGGGTAAACTTTCTACCCTGGGCTGAGTACTGGTACAATACTACCTACCATGAGTCAACCAAGATGACTCCCTTTGAGTTGGTGTACGGGCGCAAACCGCCAACGCTGATCAATTACTCAGAAGGAGGCACGATTAACGATGAAGTCAGTCGAGAACTCGAGGAGCGAGATTTGATGTTGCGAGAGTTGAAGAAGAATCTCGAAGGATAAATAAATCGAACCAAACCCTTTGTATATGGAAATCGACGAGAAGAGAATTACGCACCAGGTGAATATGTCTACTTAAAGTTGCGGCCATTTAGACAGTGCATGACAGCACAGAGGGAAGCCACTAAGTTGGGAGTGCACTACTATGGGCCTTATCAGATTCTGAAGCGCATTGGTCAGGTAGCTTATCGCCTAGAATTGCCGAAAAGTTCGCAGATCCATCCAGTAATTCATGTCTCGCAGCTCAAGAGAAGCCTAGGGGAAGCACACAAATATTGTGAAGAGTTACCAGCAACCGCGACCGATGGGAGGGCCATTGTGCGCCCAAAACGAGTGATTGAGTATCGCAAGGTAAGGAAAGCAGGGCGCTACCGCTGGGAGGTGCTAGTTGACTGGGAAGAGCTACCGCCTGAAGAAGCCACGTGGGAAGACCTTGATGAGATGCGCGATCAATTTTCATCCTTGAGGACAAGGAATCGCTTGAAGGGGACGGGAATGATGCGAAAGTGGCTAGGCAGCTCAAGAACGCTGCAAGTCGCGCCTACCATGCACGCAGAAGGCTAGCGCGGGAAACGGCGGAAGTGCGCGCACTGGAGTTTAGTGTGCGCGGGGCAAGCAAAAGTGGGACATGCGCGCACTGGAGTTTAGTGTGCGAGCGGTAGGCGCAGCAATGGCGCGGGCGACTGACGGAGACACGCGTACGATAGGGGCGGAAGATCGGGGCGCGCGAAGTGCGCATGGCGTAAATTTTTACGCCTAGAGGAAAGCGGACAGGCGGGGCGCGACGCGCGCGAGAAGGCGGCTAGAAGCGATGCCGTGCGCAACACGCCGGATGGAGGCGCACGCGCGGGACGCAAAACCCCAATCCTCGAGGAGTGCGGAAACTTGGAGCTGGCATGTGGGGACGCGCGTGAAGGCGGCGCCAGCGCGCAGGCGTGCGCGGCAAGCGTGGGTTGCGAACACGCGCTGGCAAGGTTAGCGGCCCTAGTTCTTCAGGACAAGGGCGAGGGCGCGCGGACGGTGCAAAGTGAGGCGGTCGATCGCATGAGAGAAAGAGAGAGATACTTGGAGTGCAAGCCAAGCTAGTAGTTTTCTTATTGCATTATGAGATCTAGATTAATTAGGCTACTTAATATTTTTTTGCTTTATTAGTTCCCTAGGTAGATTAGGACTAGATATAACTGGAGCCTATATAAAGGCCATCCCCCATGTTATTTTTCATCATCAATTTTATGAATACAAATCTAAACTTTTGTTCTTTCACTTTGCTATAGTTTTCCACCAAAATTCTATTGCAATTTTATTCGTTCCTAGAGGCGCTATTGTGGCTCGAAGAACACCTATCGGCGATTCAAGGCGCGGGCTAGCAGCTTATCGGCAATCGAAACACACGATCTCCATCACTGCGCCCAGCCGTAGCCCGACCATGCAAGCGAGCAGCCTGGGGCCCGTCCCAAGCCTTTTTTATATTTATAAGTCCATGTGTGGTGTTTATATGCATTTTTTGTCAAGTCCAAGTGTTAGGTCCGAATGTTCCAATGTTCACAGAACTTCACGAACTACTTGGTTAAATAAAGTTCGACCAATGTAAGCTTGTGTTTGTTCTCTAAGGTCAAATAGGTGTTGATCTTAGCATATTAATTGTTGTAGGTGTTTGACGAGCCGTGCTCGCTACCTACTCCTGATTGTGTGCCTTTTTCCTTTGCTGTACTAGGTGGGTCTTATTTAAATTGTATATGCCATGAATGATGAATATTTATACTTGTGGGTATGATCTATGCATGAATATGAAATATGTAGCCTATCGATGTAAGATGTTACGGTCGTCGGTACGGTTGTCCCCGTGGATGTAATACGGTTGCCCTTGTGAGGCAAGTCTCCTTAAGTCCTGATATGGCCGTGCCCTTGCGAGGTACGTAAGCCCATATGGAAGTCCGTGTCCGTAGCGTGGCATGTACTCCCGCCTTCGGGTAATGAATCCTCGTTGTGCGGCTTACAATAGATGTGCACAGGAGTAATATGGTTTGTTGCGATTTTGATAGGAGATGAGACATGATGTGATTATCTTATATTCATGCTGCGACCATACCATTTGACATGTGTTATTTACGTGCATAGTAGTGAGCACTACATTCATTTTGTGCTCACTCCCACCTGCTCTTCACCGATGCAGGTTAAGCAGGTGCTGGATGACGGGGGAAAGACGAGCGGGTCGGTCATGATTTATGTTTTTATGATTTTGCTTCCATTATGAATAAAGTGTGGTTCTTGAGACGTGTTGAACTATTTTCAAAACTTGTCCTTTTTGGGATTATTGGACCCTTTGTTTAGATATTCGTATTGGAGTTATTTATTGAATATCATGTGTTTTCGATTATGCATGCTATATTGTTTAGCTAATAATCATGTGGAATTAAAGTTTTAAAGGTCAATGGAAACCATGTGAACAACCAGATATGACTTGGTTGATATTAAATGTTTGAATAACGCCCATGTTTTCAAAAATGAGTTCGAAAAATTATGTACTGATTTTTGGAAAGTCTGGAATTTCTTTAAAATCAAAGTGGGGTGTTACAGTTTGGTATCAGAGCCAGTCTGTGTTTCTGTAGACTGGTTTATATGTGAGTATGTGTTTAGACCTTGTAATATGACCACTCGTCTCCGTCACTCCGCGCTGCTTCAGGTATGATTTTGTTTAAAGTATTAATGAAAATACATGATATGTAAATGATGCACATGTAGCAATGAAACTACTTATGATGAACTTGTGATTTGGGGCTTAGGATCTATCCACCTTGATTTAATCGAACTCTAGTGTTTATGGGCGAACTCTAGACTTCTGAAGTATTGATTATTTTGTTTGTTTTTGTACTAAACCATGTTCGGCTTATTCAATTTAGAAGTATGAATACTCGCAACAACCATAACCGTCAGCCATCCCCGCCTCCTTCTCTGCCTCATCATCACCAGGCCCCTCCGGCCATAGATCTTACTCAGCTCATTGTCCAGTTTCAGAGGATGAATGCACCAACTTTTGCGGGGACAGAGAACCCCACAGCGGTACTGGAGTGGATAGAAGAACTGGATAAAATCTTCATTGTACTTCCCCTCCCTGACCGTCAGCGGGTATCCCTCGCAGCTTATCAGATGAAGGAGGATGCTTCCGACTGATAGATTGACCACTGGGCTCAGAGGCCAGAGGCGGAGCTCCATGCACTCACTTGGGAGCAAATGAAGATGATGGTGCGTGGAAAATTCCATCCCCATAGCTTTTAGGAAAGGATGGAGCATGAGTTCTACGATTTGCAGTAGGGCAGCTCCACAGTGGATGAGTATATCCGCACTTTCACCCGGATGTGCCTATTTGCGGGCGACTCAGTGAACACCGATGCCAAGAAGGCCTGAAAGTTTCTTAAGGGGCTCAATCAGAGAATCCGTGAACTGGTGGGGAGTCACGGACTGATGTCTTTCGCCGACACTGTGAGTCGGGCACAGGAAATGGAGAGCTGTCTCATTCCGTTAACTCCAGTTCCTTCTATTATTATGCCTCCCAGCCTTCTCAGACCGTTGTCTAGCATGCTCAGCCCATTTCCTCTGCACCGCCCGGCTCTAGCTCGGGTAAGAGAAAGGCAGATTCCCACCGGGATAACCGGAAGGGAAAGCTAAGAGGTCCAGACCGGCGCAATCATCCCTCTTCTGGCAACCGAACCTGCAAGAAATGTGGCAAGTACCATAGTGACGAGTGCTTAGCCGACCAGCGAGCCTGTTTCCACTGCAACCGTCCGGGCCATTATGCCAGTGTGTGTCCTGAGCCCAAGAGGCAGCAGCAGCTTCCCCCACCGCAACCTTATCAGCAGCAGCAGCCCCCACCGTTCCAGCAGAGGGCTGGGGGTCAGGCCCGTGTCTATACCATTACCCATGATGAGGCCGCCCGCAACACAGGTACTATGTCCGGAATGCTTTCTATCTCCAACGTGCCTGTCTTTGCATTATGTGATACCGGTGCTACCCATTCCTTTATTTCTTCTCGTTGCTTGGAGGCCTTATCTATTGGCACTGTGAATTCTTGTGATCCTTTCGAGGTTAGTCTAGCCTCGGGAAAAATTATTCTCTCTAATTCAGTGGATCGCAATCTTTCTATTTGTATTGGTGATCGAGTTCTGGAGGCCGATGTGTATGTTATTGAAATGCGAGACTTTGACGTGATCTTGGGCATGGACTGGCTCACCCATTACCGAGCCAATATCCGTGCCAGGAGCGCGAAGTCACTCTTTATCCTGTTTTCGATCAATCTGTTGTGTTTTATGGGGTGAATTCGAGGACTGTGCCTCGAGTCATCTCTTCTATGCAAGCTAGGAAGAGCCTTTCCAAGGGTAGCTGTCAAGGCTATCTCGTTTCCTTGGTATCCGATGTTGTTGATGAACGGGTACCCGAGAGAGTATCCATTGTTTGCTAGTACCTCGACTTTTTTCTTGATGATTTGCCCGGAGGACCGCCCAACCGCCAGGTGGAGTTCACCATTGACCTAATTCCAGGAGCCGGCCCCATTTCTTAGGCCCCTTATCGTATGGCGCCGAAGGAGCTTCAAGAGCTCAAGGCCCAGATCCAGGAGTTGCTTAAGCTCGGTTTTATTCGTCCGAGTGTCTCGCTGTGGGGTGTGCCCATCTTATTCGTGAAGAAGAAAGACAGATCTATGCGCATGTGTATTGACTATCGGGAGTTGAATGCCCTTACAGTCAAGAACAAATACCCCCTTCCCCGTATTGAGGACCTTTTCGACCAGTTGAGAGGAGCCAACGTCTTCTCAAAGATTGACTTGCATTTTGGCTATCATCAGCTGAAGGTCCGAGAGTCGGATATTTCTAAGACTGCTTTCCGTACCTGTTATGGCCACTATGAGTTCGTGGTAATGCCGTTCGGATTCAGCAATGCCCCGACCGTTTTCATGGACCTTATGAATATGGTCTTCCATCCTTTCCTGGACCAGTTCGTCATTGTGTTCATCGACGACATTCTGGTCTATTCCCGAGATATCGATCAGCACAAAGAGCATTTGAGGATTGTGCTAGAGACTCTTCGCCGCGAGAAGTTGTATGCTAAGTTCTCGAAGTGCGAGTTCTGGCCGAACCGTGTGGCATTCCTTGGCCACATTAAGACATCTCGAGGCATTGAGGTGGATCCCAGCAAGATTGAGGCGGTAAGCAAATGGGATACGCCAAGAAGTGCTGCAGATGTTCATAGTTTTCTGGGGTTAGCAGGATACTACAGGAGGTTTATCGAGGGCTTCTCACAGATAGCCCAGCCAGTGACGAACCTTACGAAGAAAGCTGTGAGGTTTGATTGGAGTCCTCAGTGCGACGAGAGTTTCCAGGAGTTGAAGAGGAGACTCACTACCGCGCCTGTCCTATCTATACCCGACCCTACTTTGGAGTTCACCATCTATAGTGATGCTTCGAAGATGGGTTTGGGATGTGTCCTTATGCAGCAGGGAAAAGTCGTAGCCTATGCTTCGATGTAGCTGAAGCCTCACAAGCAGAACTACCCCACTCATGATCTCGAGTCAGCTGCAGTTGTCCACGCCTTGAATATTTGGTGGCACTACCTCTATGGAGGCAAGTGTGAGATCTTTACCGACCACAAGAGCCTAAAGTACATTTTCACTCAGAAGGAGTTGAACATGAGGCAGCGTAGATGGTTGGAGCTGGTCAAGGACTACGACTACACCATTAGCTATCACCCTAGGAAAGCTAATGTGGTAGCCGATGCCCTTAGTCGGAGGAGTTATGGCCAGCTATCTTGCTTTTTCACCGGGCAGGATGTCCTTCTTCGAGAGCTCGAGCAATTACAGCTAGAGGCAATAGAGTCGACTTCGACAGCCGGGAGCATATTGACCTCTTTGGTTGTGGGAACGACTCTTCGAGAGAGGATAGTTGCCAAGCAACCGAATGACCGTTTCTTATACCGGATGAGGGAGTTGTCAGCAGTCGGTAGAGTTGGTGGATTCGCAGTCGCATCTGATGGAGCCTTGGTCTTCGAGGGTAGACTTTGTGTTCCGAAGGTGTGGGAACTGCGTAGAGAGATTCTGAGAGAGGCCCATAGTGCTCCGTACACCATCCATCCTGGTAGCACGAAGATGTATCAGGACTTGAGGAAAATCTTCTAGTGGCGAGGCATGAAGAGGCAGATAGCGAAGTTCGTGGATGGGTGCCTGCTGTGTCAGCAAGTGAAGGCTGAGCACCAGAAACCGAGAGGATTGTTGCAGCCCCTTGAGGTTCCCCTGTGGAAATGGGAGTGCATCACCATGGATTTCCTGATAGGACTGCCGAGATCGAGGGCCGGGCACGATTCGATTTGGGTGATAGTGGATCGCCTTACGAAGTCTGCCCATTTTCTGCCAGTCCGGACGACCATGAAGGCGAGTGATTACGCCGAATTGTTCGTCAAGGGCATTGTTAAGATTCATGGAGTGCCCGTGGAGATTGTTTCTGATCGAGATCCCAAGTTCACTTGTTAGTTCTAGAAGACGTTGCACCGAGCCATTGGGACGAGGTTGGAGTTCAGTACAACCTTTCAACTCGAGACAGATGGTCAGTCGGAGCGTACGATCCAGTACTTAGAGGATATTTTGAGGGTTATGGTCTTGGACCAGAGCCTGACTTGGGAGTATGCCCTTCCACTAGTCGAGCTGACCTACAACAACAGCTACCACTCTTCGATCAAGATGGCCCCGTACGAGGCTTTGTATGGACGTAAGGTCCGGACTCCTTTGTATTGGGATGAGGTTGGAGAGAGGAGGATTACGGGCCCGAATTTTGTCCAGAGTACTGCAGCGACAGTGGATGAGATTCGGAGGACTATCAGATCTACCCAAGAGAGGCAGAAGGTCTATGCCGACCGAAAGAGGCAAGAGCATGTTTATGCCGTGGGAGATCATGTCTTCTTGAAGGTTTCACCCATGAGAGGTGTGATTCGCTTCGGGAAGAAGGGGAAGCTTAGACCTCGCTATATCGGGTCATTTGAGATCCTCGATCGAGTCGGGAACTTAGCTTATCGGCTGGCTTTACCACCAGACTTGTCGGGTGTGCACGACGTGTTCCATGTCTCGATTCTTTGGAGATATGTTGTAATAACCCAGTTCCTTATTAATGAAAGTGATGTATTTTCTTTTATTAATCTCGTTCATTTTCAGCGTTTAAGTAAATAAGTTTGACTTTAAGTCAAAAAGTTATTCGGTTAATTATTAACCGAGTTAAATTCGATAATTAATTTCTGACCTGTTTATTTTATAAACGGACATTGCTAATCGGGATTTATTATTGAAAGTTAAGAACATTCGAAGTCAGAAATCAAACTAAGTCATAAATGTATATAAGGTACACTATGCACGCGTGCATGAACGCATGCCGTGCATAGCCGTGCGAGTAGCACGCGTAACGCTCGTCATTAGGCCCTAAGCACCCACTTGAGCAACACTTAGCAACATGATCAAGCAAAGCAAGCTCCAAATCCCCTTCCTTAAGATTTCCGTCCAAGAGTAACTTATGATAAGTGTTGGGTGTGCAAGTGGTGTGGTGAGTCACCTACTTGCTTGCACACATGGCACAACACGCACGCACGGGCGATAACTAAGCCCGTGCATGCTTGACACCTCGGCCAATGACTCAGCCAAGAACGTCCCACCTCAGCCACGTTTGGGACACATGTAATCAAGGGAGGTGTTGTCATCTTTCACCTTCTTTGACCCAACTTCACCCTCGGTTTTTACTTCTGTAAATAAACGAGCATGTGGGACGTGTTCCCCATGCATTTTCATGCAACTTCAGCCCAACTTCAGCATACGAATAGAGAGAAAACAGTGAGGAAAAATAAGGGAAAAAACATACAAAAATAGCTCATCATTACCGAAGTAAAAGGGAAGCAAGCACGCACGCACTCGAGCACCAGGTACGCACGCACATCACCGTGCACTCTTCGACCGAACTGAAGGGTATACACTCCTTTACCCTCTTTTTATGTAGCTAAGTTCATATTAGCAAGATCATATTGATATCATGTCGTTCGGTCCAAGTTTTGTACGAAAATGGCCTCGTAGGTGCTATATAAGCTACCTCCGAGTGATTTCAAAATTTAACCTGCAAGTCCCGAACACGTTATGCATATTTAAGTAAGTTAAGTCAAAACATGATCAGTCATATGTGGGTTGCCGGAAAAAGTAGCCGGACGGCCGGCAAAATGTCGACCGAGACGCCTACCGCACACAGCGTGCGCACAGGCGTGCCCGGCAGGTCCAGCGAATACGCAGGCACCGTCTGCGCGCCCAGTAACGCACACGCGTGCCTAGTACTCGGCAGTCAAGCCCTTGTGATGCCGATGTCATGCGCGTAGACGTGCGCAGTACACGCCAATACGCTCGGCAGCGCACATCCCAGTCCACCCGCGTACGCCACAGCGCAGCACGCGCCCAGTAGCGTTGATGAAGGACCGCTGATCGGTGTTGTTATTTATACGTTGGGTTGTGAATAAACGGCGCACTCAGGGCCTTCGTTTATCCACGATAGGTGTATCTAGCAGACGCACTCAGGGCCTTCTTCTAGACACTGTAACTTCGAGACGCTCTCATGGCCTTCTCTCCGACACTGTATGTAAACAGGAACTGACGGCCTTGCTTATCACACGTTAGAACATAAAGTTCCCCTCAATTGGCTCACCAATTCAATACTCAATTCAACTTCTAAAATATGATGATGTACATGGGGTATTTATAGATGCCAGTTACCTCTAAGCCTAATAGATCTAGATCTCCTATTCTATGCAGTAAAATAAATCCTAAAGCTAATAAATCTCCTAACATATTAATTAAAAGCATAAAGGAAATAAAATCCTACTACTACCAAATAACTAATTGTCTTGCACACCAAGCAATTCTAGAATGCTCTCCAACTTCCCACATATGCAAAAACTCTCGGCCGCCCCTTGAATGCCGCCTCACTTGCGCGCGCGTTCGCGAGTCCGAGTCCTCGACGGACTCGGCGCCTTGCGCGTGGTCACCATACGCGCGCGCTGTCGCGCGCGCTTCCTCGTTGCCGCGTCCCGCCTGTACGTGCACTCCCGCGCCCAGCACTCCTACGCCCGTTAGGATTGGGTCGCCCGCGC